AATCAATGTATTTTATATCTTCATCCCTTATCCCCATTTGCTATTCCTTTGTTTCTTATGCACTTTAATTTCCTTCTCTCCTTTATCCCATATTCCTTTCCCATTGCAATAAACTCAGATCAATGAAAAATATGTTCTAAATAACTACATTATTTCAACATTTTTGTCACCCATATTAAAAGTGTTACTTATAAAAGCTGCCAATGGTTGCATGACTTGTAAAATAGACCATTCTGCCATCTAGTATAATTCCTGAGGATTTCTGGGCCTCTGTGAGTGCATACAAACACACAACAAAGCAAGCAAACACAAAAATGAATTCTATATAATATAGATTCTCACATGATCAATTTTGAAAATATTTATTTCAAGAATAAAATTAGTAGAAATGTGATGTAATGAGGATAGGTCAATTCTCCCTTTAGATAGAAGTAACACAGAGATACAATGTACTGTTGTATACTGATTTATTTAACAATGCTTTATCAATAGCATGAGTTATATGGAATCAAATGACTAAAATTATGAATGATAAATTGCAACACATGTGGAAGTAGGGAGTCATGGTCTATTTTAATACTTAAAACATTTACTGTACAATAAACTCTTGAGCTCTTTATGCAAGTAATTATTTTGTTCTTGAATAATGCCATAACACATCCAATAATGGTTCTACATAGATCACCAATTAGTTGACAGCCAGGTTCACAACTTTGTAAAATGGGGAAACTCATGCAACCAGTGACAAAAATATCCATCATGGGATAAACACAAACTTTAAAGGTTAAGATACTATCACAGCATTTTTGTTGAGAGAGACATCTGTCCCTGGATCTGGATTCTGTTGAATACAAAGAAGAGTGATAATAATTATTCATAAATTCATACATGGATTTCATTCAGCAAATTGTACCAATGAGACAAACCAAAATTTCCACTTCATTGAATGAGTCTCAGTGCCATTACTGACATTTTTAATTTTAATCAAATTTTGTTAGTGTTGGGTATCAATTGTAGGGTGGTAGCTAGGCACACAACTATAAGGATCATGAAGCCTACATACAAATTGGTCCACATATTCTCACAAGCATTTTGTATATATCTAAGACACAGACCAAACATCTCAGCATTTCTGGACACAAGACAAAGTAACACAAATTGTATGAATTCGTATACAAAGTTAAGACATTTCTTTTAGAATATCTGAAAGATCAAAAGACAGAAGACCACGGTCTACAGTATATTATTTGTCAACAATCACAATCTATGTATTGGTTCCATTACATCAGTTTCTCCTAACAGAACCACTTTTTGTTTGACAGATTGGAAGGCACAAAAGTTGTTAAATGTTTGCAGTGTAAGAATGTGAAGAGATTACATGAATTGGGCAGTGCTGCATACAGTCTCCAACATCTCAAAATGTTGTGACAGTGGAAATTTGTTTATGATGTGAAAATTTTTATGGCCTTTGAAATGCTGAGAAATTACAAAAAGAAAAAAGTAACAATTGTCATTAAATATATCACCTTTTCTTATACATCTTACATTTCTTGTAAATAAAATTCTCATACTGATATACATATATAATTACAAAAAAAGCTTTGGCAAAGCATAGTTATAAATAAACTTTATAATATGAAAGGAAACATAATTAGGATACATCAAAAATACAATGCAGAAACTCAGTATCAAAGAAACCAGCATTTCAGTTCATGAAACAGTTACTTAGTTCAGTGATTCTGAAGCAAAAGTTTCCCATGGCTAAATTCATGAATCTTCTTTGGCCACTTTCAGTTATGTGGATGTTCCAAACAATAACAGCTTCAGTCACTGGACATATATAATTCAGGTACCAAATTTAGTCTTTGTATGGGGGGGAGGGGGCCTGAGACTTGGATAACACTTAAATCTGGTTATTTTTGGCTCTTTTCTATTATTCATAAACAAAGCAATTGGCTGCACTTCATTATCACTCACTTAGTAACTGCATGGACTTAGAAAATTAAGTAATCAATACAATCAACTGACATATGAAATGTTATGCAAATAACACATATGGTCCTCTGCTGTGATGAAGTTCTTAGAGGTTTCAATGTTTGTTTCTCTTTGTAGGTTTGCCACACTTCTCAGTTAACACTCTCGGTACCATTGCTGAACTGTTTTCTTCAAGCCACTCACTTCTTCAGCACAAAACAGAGAAAACTGACCTCAGGATTGTTAGCAAAAAACATTAGAACTGAAAACTTTTGAATATTTTATACCAGGTTTGCCAACATATTAACTATTTGTGCTGAAGTTAATAATGAAGCTATGGGTCTTTATTTAATGATACTTTGTCAGATGTGTAGGTTACACAGCATCAAATGTTGGAATGGCTGTACATGATAAATTGCAAAAAATGTGTAAGGAAATAATAGTGGTTTGTTTCAAGGCAGAGGATGGTAGTACACAGTAAGATGTCCAAGGGAACAGTTTTTGTTTGTGTTGGCATGGCTACATCATAATGCAAATATGTTACACTTGAAGATGTAATGACATTTAAGAACAATGTTGTTTTGTGACAATCACAAGAGCCATACATAGACATGGCCAAAAAAGTAGGAGTTTAACACTACCACCATATCACTGCAACTTTTGACCCACTGAAAGCATATTATAAAACAGGCGTTTATTTGTGGTTAATGCAAAATTCTGGCATGCCAACAACGATGTACCAGGTTGCTGAATGTACTGCAGAAGCCCATATGATAGCAATGACACTAGTAAATATTACAAAAGGTTTTAAGAGATCTGGAATATTAACTTACAATGCCCATATCTCTGAAGGATCAGATTTCTTAACATCAGCCCACAAGAAACTGCATGCCAAAATACTACATAATATATGCACATGAAAAAGAATTGTCAAATAACCCAAAAATTAACTCATTCATCATCACAGACAAATGCTTAGTAATCATACTCCATTTCTAGGAGATTATGAGTTTGAATCTCACCCTGGAGACCATCTACTCTGATTGTTTTAAGTGATTTTCCTCAGTCCCTACAGCCAAATGCCAATCTAGTATCTAAAATTAGGCTACAATCTTTCAAAATCATCCTTCACAGCCATTCCATCATTTATAACATTTTAAATCCTTTTGGCAGTGAGAATTCAGACTATAGTTTTCTGTGTTATGACACCAAATACTCTTACAGTTGGTTACCAACACTTCAGAAGAGTTTGCTGCTTCCAAGTTCTGGGTATAAGAATGTTAACACACTCAAATCCATATATAAGACTATATGTTATCACAACCCAGGAGACCACAATATGGATTCTATCGATACTATACAACTTATGCCACTAAGAATCAATAAACACACACACACACACACACACACACACACACACACACACAAGCATCTTCGCAAAGTTAGCTTTGCTTCACAGATTTTCATATTTTCAAATAATGAATGCCTACTGAAATGCCAGTATATCTTACCTGTCATTAACACACATAAAAACACCCATAATAATATTCAAGGCATACACATTATCAAAGGAATATAGGAGGTTTTCATAATTAGAAAAGTTCAGCTGACTGTAATGATGCTGCTATCTTATGAATGGGGCTTTTCACCAATTAATATTTCTAAGAGATGAAATTCTTACAACTCACTAATCACTCATTAGATTAATAAACAGAATAATACTATGTTATCAAAATAGTAACATTTCCTTAAACGTATAATAAATATGTCATTCAAAATACGAGACTAGAAAAGTTGATTCAGGGTTCTATCAAATACAGAAAAAGAAACCAAAAGAAACTACTACCAGCTCTATGACATGTTAGTCCATATTTTGTTGTGATTAATGGCTTTAATAAATGTATTTTGAGAATATACCAATATATGTTATAATCCAATCTAAGCATGTAGTGAAGCTCAGTCAATTCACAACATCCCAGTTGACAGTTTTCTGTTGCATTTAGTTGTGACCTTTATCAATATCAACAATTAATTTACCAGTTTAACTTCAAAAGCACCTACAATAAAGAAACTATGTCCCAATCTTGCAAGATAAGGAATTCAACAACCCATGATGCAAAACACACCACCTAAAAGCAAATTCTGACTCCCTAAAATAACCATTTACAGGTAGCCCTCAATTTACACCGGGGATGCTTTCCTGGATGAACCGGCATATACGGAATCGGCGTAAATTGAAACTCTTTTATAATGTAAATCAATGGGAAGTCAATGACATGCGTTCCCAGCACCCAAACATTGACGAGTAATATAATGGCATTACATTTCAAGCTCTTAAATAATGCAAATAAAACAAAGGGAATTTAAAAAATATATTTTATACACTTACAATTGGCAATTTGTTGGTCCCTGCGATTGACTGCGATTCTTTCATGTGTTTGATGTGTACAGTCATCTCTGCTGTTATGTGATAGTTGCCGACCTATGGAAAATTGCATAGTAAAAATAACCCTGGTCCCTCCGCAGACATTACATTAGTCCTTTGAAAGTTTAAAGTGCCAGGAATGAAATTGCATTAGAGCAAACTCGCATATGTAAAAGTTTGCATTTCACAAACAGCTT